AAAAAAAAGGCAGAAACCGAGGTCAGGTGAAAGTAATAAAGAACTTTAGCCAAAACTGGTTTGGCTCAGTGGATAAAGCGTCAGCCTGCGGACTGAAAAGTCCCAGGTTCGATTCCAGTCAAGGGCATGTACCTTGGTTGCGGGCACATCCCCAGTAGGTGGTGTGCAGGAGGCAGCTGATCCATGTTTCTCTCTCTTGGATGTTTCTAACACACTCTCTCTCTCTCTCTCTCTCACACACACCCTTCCTCTCTGTTAAAAAAAAAAAAAAATCAATAAAATATATTAAGGAAAAAAAAAAGAACTTTAACTACATTAAGCTAGCTTTAAAATGCACTACAACTTTGAGTTATTTTATCCAATCTAAATTTGCAGTAAAAACCTAGGCTTTTAGGTCCAAAATTCCACAAAACGTATCCAAAATACAGTCTATTTCATCTCTAATGTACCAACCAGGGGCTCACATTATGGACTAGGATCTTACAAGGAAGTGCTACTTAAATTCTTTCTCTTTGCCCAACCAGTGTAGATCAGTGGTTGAACATCAACCTATGAACCAAGAGGTCACAGATTTCCCTATCAGGGTCATCACCAGTGTGGGGCATACAGGAGGCAGCCAATCAATGTTTCTCTCATCACTGATGTTTGTATCTCTCTCTCCTCCCTTCCTCTCTGAAATCAATAAAAATGTATTTTAAAAAAATAAAATTAAAACTGCAATTAAAAACAAAAAAAATTTATTCTCCCTGCCCTGGCCAAGTAGCTGACTTGGTTAGAGCATCATCCTGATACTGGATCTCTGGTCAGGACACACCCAAGAAGCAACCAATGAATTCATAAGAAAGCAGAACAACAAACCAATGTATATCTCTCTCAAATCAAGGAATAAATTTTTTAAAAATTCTTTTCCCTACCATTATATACTAGTAATGCTATACCAACTCAATTTACTGCAATTATATACCAACTCAAAAATATTATCTCACCCTGGCCAGTGTGGCTTGGTTGGAGCATCAGCTAGTATATCAAAGGGTGGCAGATTAGGATTAAATCCTTTGTCGGGACAAGTACAAGAGAGCAGCAGATGTTTCTCTCTCACATCACTGTTTCTCTTTCTCGCTCTAAAATTAACTTTTTAAAGAGATTCCTTTTTTTAAATATATTTTATTGATTTTTCACAGAGAGGAAGAGAGAGGGATAGAGAGCTAGAAACATGGAGAGAGAAACATCAATCAGCTGCCTCCTATACACCCCCCACTGGAGATGTGCCTGCAACCAAGGCACACACCTCTGACCAGAATTGAACCCAGGACCCTTCAGTCCGCAGGCTGAAGCTCCATCCACTGAGCCAAACAGGTTTCGGCTTAAGAGATTCCTTTTTAAAAATTTTTGTCTGACTTCATCAATTAACTGCAAAACTAAAACTACCAGTCTAAGAAAATGTATTTGCATTTTAAAAATTAATTGCTGTCCTGGCATGTGTGGTTCAGTGGTTAGTGAACACACTCAAGCCAAAAGGGTGGGGTTTAATCTGAGGCCCCAGTTGGTACAAGAGGCAACCAATGGATGTGTCTCACATTCATGTTTCTCTCTCTCTCTGCCACCATTTTTCTTCCACTCTCTCGGTGGAAGGATCCCGGGGAGGAATCGGATCAGTGGAAAAAATATTCTGGGATAAAGATTAACAAACTGCCGAGCCAGCGATCAGTGAGCATCAATTTAGGAGCCAGGAGGTTACTGTTGAATTCCAGATCAGGACATATGCCAAGGCTGGGGGCTCAATCCCCAGTTGGGAGTGTGCAGGAGACAGCTGATCTATGTTTCTTTTTAAGATGTTTCAATCTCTATCCCTTCCTCTCTTTAAAAAAAAAAGTCAAAAAAAAAAGTCAATAAAAACATATTTACAAAAAAAAACAAAAACCATACAACAGTATTTGTAAAAACACAAACCAGATAAAACCAGCAGTATTTTAGAGCCACTACACCATCCCTACATCCACACAATAGCCACTACACCATTACTTACATTTAAATCAGACATGCATTCTATGATTTTCCTAAGCAGAAATAAATACATAATAGCTCAGAAATATTTCAAGCTTTAAAATTTACCTATTAATCACAGAGCTCAGATTAAATAGTAAAGCTATCCATGAAGTCAAATTTTGTAAGCCTAATTCTAATTTCCAACTGACAAAATTTTAACATTCTTACACAAAAATTTAAGGTGATAGGCTTGGAGGGGCACATCCCAAAGGAACAAGGTAATAGTAGTCTCTCTTAGTTCCCCATTTCATAATCTCATACTTTTTTTTAAAGAAAAGCAATGAGTTGTGCTGTCCGATGTAGTAGCCACTACTCAAGAATAAAATGTAAAATTCAATCCCTCAGCCACAATAGCCACTTTTAATTACTCAACAATCAATCACATATAGTGGCCAATATGTTAGCACAGAAACATAGCATTTCCATCATTGCAGAAAGTTCTATTGCACAGCACTAATACACTAAAGGAAAGATTAGCTTTTTTTTTTTTTAATATATTTTACTGATTTTTTACAGAGAGGAAGAGAGAGGGATAGAGAGTTAGAAACATCAATGAGAAAGAGTATTGATCAGCTGCCTCTTGCACACCTCCTACTGGGTATGGGTATGTGCCTGCAACTAAGGTACATGTCCTTGACTGGAATCGAACCCGGGACCTTTCAGTCCGCAGGCCAACGCTCTATCCATTGAGCCAAACCGGTTTTGGCAAGATTATTAGCTTTAAAGAAGTAAAAATATTTCCCATGTAGATAAACTGGCTTATTTGTAAGCAAAATACTTCCAAAAGAGAGGGAAATGCAGCCCTACCACTACTCCAGAAGGTCAACTTCAGAACAGACCAAGAAAATATTAAACAGTATCCTTTTGGAAAGTTTACTAAAAGTTGTCTATAATACTTTATTATAGTATTCCTAACTTCCTTTCAGAAAATTTTGGATATATTAAAAACAAATTTACCAAGTGACAAACTGTTTCTCTAATATCCAAAATATAATAAGAGCATTTATGACTTTATGTTGAAAATGCATTATTATTTAACTTGAATTTTAAGAAAATTTCTATGTCTCATTAATACTTTATGAAGATTTACTCTTCTCTTGAGGCCATTTAGATGTTCAAATGTTCTCCCTAAAAGGTACTGTCATTTAATTACAATCAATTTTCTATGCATATTAAAATTCTGCCTTGATCACTCACTGACAGAAGCCAATATTAAAAGCTAAAGTTCCACGCCGAAACCGGTTTGGCTCAATGGATAGAGCATCGGCTTGGGGACTGAAGGGTCCTGGGTTCGATTCCGGTCAAGGGCATGTACCTTGGTTGCAGGCATATCCCCAGTAGGGGGTGTGCAAGAGGCAGCTGATCGATGACTCTCTCTCATCGATGTTTCTAACTCTCTAAATCTCTCCCTTCCTCTCTGTAAAAAAATCAATAAAAATCAATTTTAAAAAAAACAACAATAAAAGCTAAAGTTCCAAAAGAAAGCTTCCACAAATTGCCATGAACATAAAATTTGAGAGTCAAAGGGGAGGAAAGAGATCAACCGAAAGACTTGTATGCATGCATATAAGCACAACCAATGGATACAAAACACTGGGGGGCAGAGGGAGGCTGAGGGCATGCTACAGGGCTGGTAGGGAAGGCTGGGGGAAAGTCAATGGCGGGGGGAGGGGGAAGATATGTACTATTATATATTTTAAGTAATACAAAATAAATATAAAAAAATAATTTGAGAATCAAAGTAGACAACACACTTCATTGAGCAAACATTACTGTGTGTAAAAAAGCCTCCATTCAAGAAAAATGTTTTGTTGGCAAAAATCCAGCATCTATTGATCCCCAAGAGTTCGAGGTACTATTATAAGTAATTGGGGTAACACAAATCTGGGAAAAATTTTAATGACATTGTAGAATAATATCATGTAAGGATATTCTTTATTCTAGGCCATGGCAATTCCATTTCATACTGGCTGTCCATTTCTTTTTCTATGGACCAGGTCTTAGTTACGTTTTCTGCACCTCTCCCAGGAGCATCTAAATATGAATTAAATCAGTGCTGTATAATTGACACTGATGGAATTCACTAGAAAACACATAGGAAAACCAAGTAGCTGATATTGTGCCCTGATAAGTGTAAATCCTCACCACTCAGATTCTTTTAAAATACAAGGGAGCCCTAGCCAGTTTGGTCAGTGGATGGGGTTTGGCCTCAAGAGTTCTGGGCTCAATTACTGGGGGGCACAAGCCTGGGGTTGTGAGCTCCATCCCCAGGGCGGGTTGTGCAGAATGCTGCCAATCAATGATTCTCATCGTTGATTTTTCTATCTCTCCCTCTCCCCTTCCTCGCTGAAATTTAAAAAAAAAAAAAAAAAAAAAAAAAAAAAATTAAAAAAAAATACAAGAGAGGCACAAATTGTGCAGGCTATTGGATAAATTCCTAAGGGTTAGCCTTAAAAGTAGTAAAGATATATAGTATTCCAGTATTAAAATGTGTAAGTAAAACAATAGAATTCCAAAACACGAAACCTCCCGTGTCGGAGGGGAGACACATTTTATTAGACACAATAACCCAGCCCCGGTGCAGCACTGCGGGGCGGGGGTAAATGCGGCCGCGCCTCCTGGGCAGGCGGCGGCGTGGGAAACGGCCGACAGGGGTGAATTTGTGGGAAGCAATTTCGCTGGGAGGGCCTTCGGGCCCAATGAGACTTGTGGTAAGAAACGGCTCCCGTTCCCAATTCCTATCCTGTTCGTTCCCCTTCTAACCCCATTCTGCCAGGACCCGCGCTCCCACCGCGCCGGTTCTGGGGACGGCAGCCCGCACCCGGCCCGACACCCGGCCCCCGGTCCGACACCCGGCCCCCGGCCCCGGCCCCGGCCCCGGCCCCGACACCCGCCGGCGCCGCTAACCGTCAGCGCGGCGGCGGCTCCCACCGCGGCGCCGGCCCCGCACTCACCAGGCGGATGAAGCCGAAGCCGCGGTCGCGGTTGATGAAGACCTCGCTGGGCTCGCCGTAGCGCTCGAAAAGCCGCTTGAAGTCCTCCTCCGTGATGTCCGTGGGCAGGTTGCCCACAAAGAGGCGGCAGCGCTGCGTGTAAGTCTTCTCGCCCGGCTTGAGGAAGCTCTTGATGTCGATGGTGAAGCCCGCCTCCTCCTCCGGGCGCTCCCCCGCGGGCGCGGGCGCGGGGGGCGCCGGCTCCCCGGCCAGAGAGAGGGCCATGGCGGCCGCAGGCTCGCTCTCGCCCGCCGCCGACTCGAGAGCACGCAGGCGAGCCGGGTTTTTCTCAATGCGAACCTGCTTCAGGTTTCCCCTTAACATCATCGGAGGGCTTCGCCTCGCGCCGGGAAGCAGCCTGGGAGGTGTGTCTGTGGCCCGTGCCTCACTGCGGGGCCGGTGCTGTGCAGGGGAAAGCCAGGCGGGACGAGGAGGTCGCCGCGCCGGCAACCTGCGAGCCTTCCCAACCCACCTATCGCCTGCAGCCGCTGCACGCTCAAAATGGCGCTGCCTTCAGCCGCAGTTGGAAGTGACGTCGTCCACAAGCCCCGCCCCTACGTAATCGCAAGAACGGAGGCCAGGCGCCTGCGCAGTCTGGGCACCAATGCACCTGAGCTTGCATAGACCTGCACACAGCTCCTTGTAGGTCTGACAAATGCAGTTGCCCAAACATCTAAAACAACATGGATTCTTGGTTGTACATGTCGATGGTAAACATTGTGGACTAAAAGGGGCCACACATTAAACCTGACAAGCTCAGGGGATGTTTGCTTGGCTGCTTTACAAACTCAGAAACCAAAATAACAACAAAAGATGACCTAAAATTAAAAAATATTAACTAAAAGCAGTTTATGGTAGGTAGTCATGTCTTAGGCTGGCTCAATCCTTACCTAACTGAGCCTGTTTATTGTCTTTTTGCATCTTTGGAATGTCAAAGTAATTATCATTGTTCTGACCCCTGAGAGCCCAGGATCACTTTGCCCTGACAAATACTAATATTGTTATTGAGTAATTGTTGACTGTTAACTGTCCTATACCCACCTATGAAAAAGAAGTATGTGTCTTCATTTTACTTTTGATCCAATCCCAAAAGATGCCCTATTTTGCTTTTTCCCACTTCTCTATCACCAATGGATTTCATGTAACCCACATATGTCTCCTCTTTTTATTGTAATGTATAAAATAAGATACAGCCGAAACCGGTTTGGCTCAACAGTAGAGCATCGATCTGCGGACTGAAGGGTCTCAGGTTCGATTCTGGTCAAGGACATGTACATTGGTTGTAGGCACATCCCCGGTAGGGGGTGTGCAAGAGGCAGCTGGTCAATGTTTCTCTCTCATCAATGTTTCTAGCTCTCTATCTCTCTCCTTTCCTCTCTGTAAGAAAAATCAATAAAATATATTTAAAAAAAAAAAAAAAAAAAAAAAGTAGTAGACGCCTGAAGGCTAAGGGAGGCCTATTTCTTTAAATAAATAAATAAATAAATAAATAAATAAAATAAGATACAAAACTTCCATTCACCAGAGCAGTGGGCACTAACCAGTGGTCTGTGAGGTCCGAAAGGTTGGCAACTGCTGCTCTAGAGCATTATCTCAATCTGTTGGGATTTTGCTGCCTGGAAATTATTGACAGTTTGGCTCAGATAAACTCACAAAAATTCTCTATAGGTTTAAATCTTTCTTACATTGACAAAATTGTGTGATGTGTGCAGCAGTGTGTGAAAATATATTCTTATAAATATCCAGCCCAATTTTCAGTGATAATAGGGAAATAAAAAAACTGCCCATGTTAACAGTTGAGCCCGGAGCAGCCAGGCTCGGAGCAGCAGCGGCCAGGCCGGGAGCAGCCAGGCCAGGAGCAGCCAGGCCCAGAGCAGCCGGGCACAGAAGCAGCCAGCCTGGAATGGCTCGCTCCTCACCTGCCCATGCCCCAGGGCTACTTCTCAGACAAGGCTGGAAACTTTTGGGGGAACTTGGGGGTCTGCTGAGTCGGGTGATGGGGGCTTAGATCTGGATGTGTTGAGTTATTGTAGCGCTGGGGTGTTGATCTGTGAGTGCCTTGTGTGGGGTTTGGATGAGGTTGGTTGATCTATTTGGAAGTGTCTTTTGTGTGAAGTGTATCCTTGGGCATGTGGAGGTATTATTGATTTGAGAAAATACTAAGTACCCGTATTTTCCGGCGTATAAGACGACTTTTGAAATGAAAAAAAAAGCTTGGTAAGATTGGCCAGAGTCATGCCGGGACCGGTTTGGCTCAATGGATAGAGCGTCGGCTTGGGGACTGAAGGGCCCCGGGTTCAATTCCGGTCAAGGGCATGTACCTTGGTTGCGGGCATATCCCCAGTAGGGGGTGTGCAAGAGGCAGCTGATCGATGACTCTCTCTCATTGATGTTTCTAACTCTCTATCTCTCTCCCTTCCTCTCTGTACAAAAATCAATAAAATATATTAAAAAAAAAATAAAAAAAAAAGATTGGCCAGAGTCAGAGAGTCGGTCTATTAAAAAAAGAACTTGTGTTGCTCGGAAGTGGGGGGTAGTTTTATACAGCGAATATAGGCCTAAACCTATGTTTTAACTGTAAAATTAGGGGGGTCGTCTTATACGCCAGAAAATATGGTAATTGATTTACTACCTGAAGAGTTTGTAGTTCTGAAGGTTTGGGGTCTCTTGCCAATAAGAGGATTTAAAGCTAACACCTTAATTTCAATGAAGAAAGGGAAGGACAGGCCCTTCCCACCCAGAGCCGGTGTCCAATTCCAGTCAGCAGCTATCTTTAAACAGTGTGTCCATTACATTTGAATGGCTGTGCCTTTTGATAGCCTAAGGGCAGGTTTGCATGTAAACAGATTTGCTTCTCAGTTCCCAGGATAGAAAAAACAAGGTTTAAAATTATTAGATTTTAAAATTTATTCTTAAAAATATAAAAGTTTATTAATAAAAACAACAAGGAAATTAAAAAACCTGATGAGCAATTAAAAAAAAAACTACCCATGTTATACACAGCTTTGAATAATGAGATATTTTCCAGTAATTGAAATAGGTAAAAATACATTTCTGTCTATTTTAAGAGCAAGGTTTTTATTATATTTTCTAATGAGACACTACAATTCTATAAAATAAGTGTGCCTATGAAAGTAGTACAGCCATATCCAGAACTATCAACATACTTTGACAAGGGTCCACAAATGTTTTCTGTAAAAGACCTGACTGCAAATATTTTAAGATCTGAGAGCCATACAGTGTCTACCAAACTAGCCAGTTTTGCCCAATATTGCTCTTGGTAAATGGTAATTCTTCAATGAATGTGAATAAATGAATTCATAGTCACTCTGCAAAACAGATAGTTTTTCATGAAGTTAAACACAGGATGACTTTAGAACAGCACCCAACTCCTATTTAGCCAAGTAAAATAAATACTTGTGTTCACAAGTAACAAAAATCAATGTGGAAATGTTTATAGGGACTTTTGTTACAATCAGCAAAAACTGGAAACAACCCAAATGTTCAACTGGTGAATGGATAAACAGTGGTACATTCATGTAATAAAATATACTACATGATAAAAAATAGAATAGTCTTGGTACCAATGCACCTGAGCTAGCACAGACCTGTGCACAGCAGTACCAATTTCCCATTCTAGGGTTCGTTGTGGGTTTCACAAATGCAGTTGCCCAAACCCCTACAGAAGCAGAGATTCTTGGTTGCTTATACCTTGCAACTAAAACACGTCCCTTCTCTTCTTCAACAAAAATCTCAGCTCCAAAAAGAACATAACAGCATAAACTCCAACTCTCCTACTCTCCTTTACCCCCTTCTTTCTGGCCCCTCTAAAGTTTTTTTTTTTCCTTCATTTTATTTGTGGAGTGTATGGAGCAAGCTCCTAATACAACTCCCAGCTTCAAAAACCCATTTAATATATTGTCCTCCAATAGAGGATGTATCAGGTAGTAAACTGAGAAGGACAAAAACTACACTTGATCTTAGCCAAAAGGCCAAGAAGCGATAGGCCCCTCTAAATTTATAACCACAGATATTTGGTAGGCCCCTAGTTATTTCTTTCACCTAATTTCCTATTTAACATTTTCACAAATTTTCTTTCTCCTCAAACCAACACTCCTTCCCACCTCACTTATAAAAAAATAAATAAATAAATAAAATAAAATAAAAAATTGCCTCCTATCAACACCAAATCTACCAACTCAACTCCATATGTAGCCTTATATATAGCCTTCCCTCCAGTTATCGAATATATTGAGTTAATTGCCACTGATCTTCTCTAATAGCATCCTCTTTCCAAGTACTTTGCTTTTATCTATCACCTTTCCAAGTGATCAGTTACTTGATCAATACTGAACTACTCCCATCTGCAAAACAAACAGCTGATAAAACTTTTATCTTAAAAATAATGGGGAAGAACCAAACTAACTGCAGCTCCAGTCAGATAGCTCAAAAACCTCCAAACCCTGAACAAAGAGGAGAAAATTCTTGTAGATCCTGCTGAATGGCCTCAGACAGTAGCTGACCTGCACCCCATTGGAGATCCAGAAGCTAGTGTATCTAGTGGTCTGTGTGAGACGACATCAGATTTCAACTACTCTTAGAAGGGACACATTCAAGAGGCAGACTCAGTGAGCACAAAAGCCCCACTGAAACAAGTCCTGCCCCATAAGTGTGTCTCCAGCACAACAATTTTTCTGTTATAGACACAGCAGGTCCTCACAGCCAATTGGCCTAGAGGTTAATTCTTCCCAGTGACACCAACAAAAATCAAAACTTAAATACAACAAGGCTGTACACACAGTTCACAAAGAGGTGCACCAAGAGTGTCCACCTCAGGTAACTGGGAGGCTGACCCATGGGACCATATAGGACACCTAGCACACAAAGCCACCCTACTAATTCAAAGAAGCAGATCACAAATGAATGAAATGGAGGAAAACAAACAACTGGATATAGAGTTCAAAACCATGGTTATAAGGTTTTTCAAAAACTTCCTAGAAAAGGATGATAAATTTAATGAGACCTTCAAGGATATGAAAAAGAAATTAAACATACACTGACTGAAATAAAATATTTAATTTAGCTCAATGGATAGAGCATCAGCCTATGAACTGAAAGGCCCCAGGTTCGATTCTGGTCAATGGCATGTACATTGGTTGGGAGCATATCCCCAGCAGGAGGTGTGTAAGAGGCAGCTGATTGATGTTTCTCTCCTATCAATGTTTCTAACTCTCTATCCCTCTCCCTTTCTCTCTGTAAAAACTCAATAAAAATATTTTTTTAAACCCAACAGCAGAATAGAAGAATGCAAGAATGAAGTCAAATAT